AATGTTAAATTTTAGACTGGGTTCAGTGTGGCAGCAACGTTAAGAGTATACACCTGATGATGGCCGATAGAGGCCGAAACATGTAGTGTAGAAGAGAACAAGATCAAAGACATATAATATATATTGTTTGCACTTGGGACGGAGTTTGTATCATTTATAGAATAGAATGTTATTAATGATGAAAGGATTGCTGAATGTGAAACACAAAGTTCTTCAGAGTCCATTGCCATTTTTCATGACATTTCTTTCAGAATTAGTGTAGATTATGAAATATTTATGGTAGGAACTGTGTCAAGTGCATCTTTTGTTTGGAATATTCTTTTAAGCACATCTATATTTATTTTTATGATGCAAGTCAGTATCAGAACTCCCACAACATGCATGAAGCAGGTTCAGCTGTGACTGGGAAGGGTTTGGTGTGCTTGTTGAAGGATGTTGCTGTGAAATCTTGTATTATGCATACTTCAGATATGCCTGTTTGTTTTCACAATACCTCACATTAAATTTTCACCAAGAAGAATAATGTCCCAAAGTATATCAGAAGCTCAGTACAGTGTGCTGTCCATTAATAATATTATATTGAAGCAGTGAGTAACATAGATTGACTGTGTTTGAGAACAACATTAACGAAGAGGAATGGTGAAAATGAGGTAATGAGCACCTTTCTAATTTGTAGTCATCGCCAAATACTGTTGGGGAGATCAGATCAAAGAGGATGAGATGGATTGGACCATTCAAGAGTTGGATAACAAAGGCAAATAAGAATTTAGTTGGAAAGCGTGAAGGGAAGATAGTGCTTCGGATAACTAAGCACAGATGAGAGGATATTTTAAAGTGGGTCTTAAATAAAAACATGGCAAGAGTGACTGAATTTGCCTTGCTTAGGGTAGAATCCAGTGGTGGGCTGTTGTGAGTGCATCAGTGAACATGTGCATTTGATAAAAGTTTAAATTGCTTGACTAGCTGAGTGATTGCCAGCTTCTTGAGTATTCTACTGCATGGAATTAATTATAATATTATGCACTTAAATATAATTTATTTTAATAAAATTCAAATTGTGTTCATATATAATGATGACATGTTGTAATTTCCTCTCTCTTTGTCAAAAATCACATTGCCAAATATGTGTCTTAAATGATGCATCATGGCATTTATGCTGGAGCATTGTTATTCAGATTCACTGCTAAATGTGTAAGGCACATTTTCATTACAAATGAGTGTGTGATCAGTCAAACTGTCAAAATAGTGTGTAAGTAAAATTGTTTCCAGTAATGGTTCTAAACAGTCCTTTATTATTGAACAGGAGCTCTGATGAGGCTTCTCGCTCTGGTGCTGAACCACGTCACAGAGGATGATGATAGTCCCAAGGAAGAGCTGTGCGTTCGAATGCAAGATGTTGTTAGGTAAGCAACTGAATTATTTTCTGTAGTCTGCAGTTGCTCAAGCAGACTTCTGTGTCAGCTTACATAATTTAATTTAGTAGATCTCTTTTTATGGGTAGGATAATCCATTCTCTAATTTAGATGTTTGCTAAAGAACAGAATACTAGTACTAATCAAGAACTTAGGTTTTGTGTTTCCACAGTTTTGTAAAATTATTGCCTTATTGCAGAGATCCCCTTGGTTCAGCTTGGGATTCTCATATTTCTCACTGAAATTGTCTCGTGATGATTTTTGTCATGGTCATCAGCTAATAAAAGATACTTGAGCTGAAATAAATTCAAGAGTGACTTGTGTCAGGTGTATCATCTGTAAATTTCAGGAAGATCTTTTGTAAACGTGCAACAAATATGGTGAGGGGGGACTGTTCTGTCTCTAGTATGTGGAGGAAACCCCACAGTTTCTTCTGTTTCTAGATATGGGGAAACCCACATTGTCTTCTGCCATTACTAGGATATGTGGATAATCCAACCTGTCTACTGCTGTTGCTAGATAAGGAGAGGAATGGTGATTGGTTGAACATGAAAATATGATTGGAAAGGAGTACAGGAGAAGAGATGGGAGGAAATAAAGGTAAAAAATGGATAGAGGTACAAAGGAATTGAGGTGAGAGAGCTGTCTTAACTAGGAGAACGGAAAGGGAGAAGGGAATGATATTAGAAGAGACAAAAGTTGGAAAAGAAATACCAGAGTAAGAAGGGAAGGAGATGAAAGCAAAAGGGTTATGTGAGGGCAAGAAAGAAATCATTTCCTGTTGTTACAGGTAATGTAAACAACCACCACAAACATACTCCGTGGTTTTAGTCCGCATGTGAACTATGCTGACCGCCTCTGTGGTCTAGTGGTCAGAGTTCATGGCTATAGATCAAGAGGTCCGGGTTCGATTCCCTGTGCTACCAGATTTTCTGAGAGGTAGTGGGTCTGGAACGGTGTCCACTCAGCCTTCTGAGGATAATTGAGGAATTATTTCAAGGAAATAATAGCTCTGGTCTAGAAAACCGAAATTAATGACCGTGGGGATTCGTTGCGCTGCCGACGCGACACCCTCTATCTGCAAAATTTGGCACTAACTTCGCCAACAAGCGAGGGCTGCTCAGTCACTAATCACCACGAAAAACAAAAATAGTGTCTGAAACTGCAATGTCAATTTTTCTGCAAGGGGACACTAGTATGTAGTATACATGTAACATGTACCGTTGTTTGGAAAAGCTGTTGTCTACGACCATCAGTAGCAACTTATGAAGTTGATACGTGTTATTGCTTTTCCGCTCATTATTTGTCCGTAAAGTCACTGCATTATACTTTTTCTGCGTCCTTGCTCATGTTCTGATGCTAATGCGAAATAGGTGACCTGTCACTTCCGGAAAGGTTTGGGCCTTTTTAGAAAAGTGGTAGAATGGAAGATGGAGTCTCATTATTTCTCAAGAAGAAAGAGTGTGCCAACCAGGCCTTCCTCTTTGACGCAACGTCAAAGGCTTGGAGTCTGGAAACAACTCAAATTTGTGCCCGTTCTCATGTTAGACATATCTGGGTTGTTATAGCAGACAGGCAGGCAGACTTCTGGTCTTCTACAAAATAAAGAAATGTGCTTTATGACCTGCGCTTGTGTGTATGTGTGCATAATTGTAATAGATCGTAGATTTTGTAATTAGCATTATTTATTTAGTAACACTAGAGTATAATTTATATGTTGTAACTGACTGTCAGTTTTAATAAGTTTTGACAGTTTAATTTGACATGGGCCAGCAGTCCACCCAGGAAAATAATTGTAATATTAATGAGCAAAGTGTTGGAAAAATACGGTCGTCTTTAAGAGACCCAGGAAAATAATTGAAATATTAATGAGCAAGTGTTGGAAAAATATGGTCGTCTTCAAGAGAATGTTTCAGTTAAAATATTTAAGTTCTGTCTTTGAAGAGACAGGCATAAGCCACAAAGATGTGTGCAACGAAAGGTAGAAGAGATTAGGTGCTACTTGAATGCCAAGTTCAGTGTTATGGGTCTGAAATATAGGTATGATTGCAGAAAATCGTTATATGTTCTATTATAGACTCTCTAAGATCATAAGGGTCAGTCACAGTAGCCGCGTGGTCTAAGACAGTGTTTCCCAACCTTTTTGATGCCGCGGACCCCCTGTACCAAATGTTAATTGACCACGGCCCCCATAAAACCCAGAATGGAAATTTTTTATATTTTACATATCATGAAAGTGGAGCAGTTAGTTACAATTTTACAGCACTAAATGTGTCATTTATGACAACAAAATACTGTTATAAATGGAGCTTATTCGGAAGATCACGAACATATCAATTAGGCCTAATATTGTGAATTTAACACTCACCTAATCAACGATCCACACTTTAACCACCGATCCCTTTGTAAATAAGATCGTGAACAAACTGAATATTTAACCGAGAAAAACACACTTGCATAATATTATAAAAATCCACTGCACAGAAACTAAAGACACACAGGTTGTTCACTCTGCCACTGAAATAAATAAGAAAGGTGTTCAGTGGTCCCATCTTCATTCCCAACCAAAGAAGGATGGATTTTGTGGGGAGGAGGGGGAGACTGGTCAGACAGCAGGTAAGAAGGACAACAGTCCACCCTGAAACACGGGTCTGAGATGCAACAGGCCGACCAAAATAAAATGTCCTTGGGAAAAGCTACACAAATCGTTGGTTATTCACCTCTGCTTTGCAAAGGGAAGGTACTGTTACGGTACTAACAGTCCCGTTTAATTTTACTTCACCCATGGGCCTCAAGAGACCGAGATATACATTGCAAATATCCCAGGTGTGAGGAACATGATAGGATAAAGTTTAATGAAAATAAACTATCCCGTGGACCCCTTTTGAATTACTCGCGGACCCCCGGGTGTCCACGGACCACAGGTTGGCTACCACTGGTCTAAGACATGAATTGTCTTTGCTCGCTTGGACCCTGGGATCGTGGGTTCGAATTCCAATCAGGACATGGATGTTTGGTGTGTGTATGCGTTTATTCTGTGTTTAGGTAGCGGCCTTGTGACGGGCTGATCACTTGTCCAATGAGTCCTACCGCGTGTGAAAAATGATTACGGAACTGAAAAAGAGGCCTGGGCCTTGAATGGGCTGGAAGAGCCATTAAAAAAAACATGGAGCAGTGTCTTGGATTGTAAACATAAATATACAGTGGGATTATTAGTAACAGAATTGGGCTTTTGGAGGAGATGTATAAGGAAAACATTTTTTTGGATAGAGTCGGGAGTGAGTAATTATAAAAGAGGCTGAAGTAGGAAAAAACAATAAAATATCAAATGGATGAGGAGAAGTGACTGACATGATACGGGTATGCTGGTTGAATGGAAGAACATTGCTTACCATGCCAGCCAGTGGAATGGAGTTTAGTAAGGCACCCAGAAAAAGGGGTCGGCTACACCAAATATGGAATGAAGATATTGTCACGTGTTGGGTATATGTCACGCGACAAATAACTTCACACCGTCTTAGATATAGCGAATTTAGTCCACCCACTCTCATAGTTACACAATTCACAATTACACGTACACCATTACTGCCATCTGCAGTATCACATTTGCTTCTCTTGCTTTAGTCACTGCCATGCACCCGATACAACCCGACTCGGCGACTGCTAGATTGAAACTGACTGGTTACTTGTCAATGTCACATTGCGACTGACGATCAGTCAGTCAGTAAGTCTTGGTTTCGAGCCCCATGTGGGGCTCATGACCAGATATTTATTACTGTTTGACAGTTACGGTCTTGATTTTGTGTGGCGCCTTCTCTGACGAGAGGACGGGTCTGTCTTTATATATGCTGCTGGCCCTTGCCAGCGCAGTCTTTCTGGGGTCCGAGTCCCTTGGAATTCGTGACCATAGTTTACTGTCTCATAATTGAGACTTCCCTTTTCGTCGCCTCTTACGACTCGCAGGTTCACGGTGGAGGTATTCGACCCTGCCTCCACACGGGGTCTGGTTACTTGTTACTCTGGTAACTGTTATGTAGCTTCCACACTGACAACACAGAAAACAGTTACGTGATAGCTTTCACTGTTGTGTGACTTCGTGTTTACAGGAGTTGCTGGGGAATGCTGCAGAGAGTTGTTTATTGGTGCGTAGTAACCGCGGTGTCCCCTGTTATGTCACCGCTGTAGAGGGGGGGTCTTTACAGAGCATTGCGCCATCTACGTCACAATATAATGCAACTGTTAAGGTGGAAAGGCCTCCTTAGCTTGTCAATTTAAATTTATTTTGTGCTGGTATCAAATTCTAATGTGTTTTCTTCAGAGAAAAACAAAGGGAAAGGAGGGAGAAAGCCAAGATCATGGTTTGCTTGTGGCTCTGTGTACACTTTAGGCTTGTAATATTATGCAGTACACAGTTATGTATCTTTGTAGACAGATTTCAGACTTTGTACAAACCTGTGGAACCATTTCTTCAGATTATAAGGGAATAGATTACTTTCGAAAGGAAATTTATGAACCAAGTAACTTACAATACCGTCGTAATGAAAGCAACCTCCCCACCTTACAAGAAATCAGGCAAGGTGTAGTTGCTGATAAATCCCTTAAAATTAGTGAAACACTTGTTGAATTTCCAGTATTGTAAATTCATATTAAATGTACAGTCTCACAGAGAGAAAACTTGTAGTTTGGTTACTGTATGAAATGTTTGCAGCATATGAGAAACCTTTTAGATCATGTTTCGAAATTTTTGGTATATCTGATTGAAGTGTGTACACACACACAACACATTGCAAGCTTAGAAATTTTGTGAGGTGGTTGGGGTTACCCGCTACCCCATCACCAGGCAAGAGAATGTGCTGCGGGGGAGGGGGGGAAGGAAATGTGGGAACTAGGAAGAGGGACCGGCGTCACAATCATAAGTGATTCCCGAACTCGTTTATTGTGAAGCCCCCTTGATGGGAATTAAAGAGTTTGAGGCGTAGGAACCAATAAAA